GATGGCCCAAGCTCTTGGGCCCCTGCACCCACATGGGGACCCGGAAGAAGCTCCTGGCTCCTGGCTCCGGATCGGCACAGCTCCAGCCGTTGCAGCCAATTGAGGAGTGAACCAGCAGATGGAAGACCTCCCTCTCTCTCTCTCTCAATCTCTCTCTCTCTCTGTCTCTCTCTCTGCCTCTCCTCTCTCTGTGTAATTCTGACTTTCAAATAAATAAATCTTTTTTAAAAAATACACCAGAAGTTTTTAATGTGATTGAATGACAAATTTTAAATAAAGAAGTCATTCACTAAGGTTTTTTTTTTTAGTGATTTTTTTTTTTTTTTTTTTGACAGACAGAGTGGACAGTGAGAGAGAGAGAGAGAGACAGAGAGAAAGGTCTTCCTTTGCCCTTGGTTCACCCTCCAATGGCCGCCGCGGCTGGCGCGCTGCGGCCGGCGCACCGCGCTGATCCGAGGCCAGGAGCCAGGTGCTTCTCCTGGTCTCCCATGGGGTGCAGGACCCAAGCACTTGGGCCATCCTCCATTGCACTCCCGGGCCACAGCAGAGAGCTGGCCTGGAAGAGGGGCAACCGGGACAGAATTCAGCGCCCCGACTGGGACTAGAACCCGGAGTGCCGGCGCCACAAGGCGGAGGATTAGCCTAGTGAGCCGCGGCGCCAGCCTCATTTACTAAGTTTTAAAACCACAAAAGCACTGATTTAGCCATTACCTTCTGCTTCGAAGAAAAATAAGAAATAAAACATTTATTCACTATTTACCATGGAATATAATTTATGTTTACATTTATTCATTCTTCTCATATGATTTCATTCTAGGTCTATTCTTTAACAAGGCAACAAGATTTTCTGTTTGCTGTGATAGTTACCTTCTATGAACTATAAAACTATATATACTTGCAGTTATGTATATTTTAGAACACTACATATTAAAATGTTTGTTTTTGAGAAACGTGTTTGTTTATATTTAAAGATAAATATTTTATTGGCTATGGAAGTTTGAATTTAATTACAGATCTTGTGGTAATTAACCCCGGAATTCAATCACAAATTTTGTGATCACTAACCACTCAGACTTTATTGATTTTGGACATACAGATGTTTTTTTTGGACAGGCAGAGAGGACAGTGAGAGAAAGAGAGACAGAGAGAAAGGTCTTCCTTTTGCCGTTGGTTCACCCTCCAATGGCCGCTGCGGCCGGGGCACCGTTTTGATCCAAAGCCAGGAGCCAGGTGCTTCTCCTGGTCTCCCAGGAGGGTGCAGGGCCCAAGAACTTGGGCCATCCTCCACTGCACTCCCTGGCCACAGCAGAGAGCTGGACTGGAAGAGGGGCAACCAGGACAGAATCCAGTGCCCTGACTGGGACTAGAACCTGGGGTAGTGGCGCCACAGGCAGAGGATTAGCCTATTGAGCCGTGGCGCCGACCGGACATACAGATTTAAGGCTATAAAAATTGATGTAGTAGAGGCCGGCACTGTGGCACAGTGGGTTAAAGTCCTGGCCTACAGAGCCAGAGTCCCATCAGGGCGCCAGTTCAAGTCCCAGCTGCTTCACTTCCAATCCAGCTCTGTTAATGAGCTGGCAAAGCAGGGAAGGAATGGTCCAAGTCCCTGGGTCCCTGTAACCACGTGGGAGACCCAGAAGATGCTCCTGGCTCCTGGCTTCGGATCAGCTAAGCTCCAGTAGTTGCAGCCACTTAGGGAATGAACCATCAGATGGAAGATCTCTCTCTCTCTCTCTGTCTCTACCTCTCTCCATAACTCTTTCAAATAAATAAAGTAAATCTTTTTAAATAATAATAATAAATTGATGGAATCAGAACACAAATAAGTCTTTACCCTTGAAAGATTTTTTTCTAAGTAAGATAAAAGAATGAGTTTAAATAAAGAAAAGGAGTAGGCCAACACTGTGGTGTACCAGATAAAGTTCCTCCCTGCAACAGTGGCATCCCAAATGGGCATCAGTCCAATCCTGAAGGCTGCTCCATTTCGGATCCAACTCCTTGGGATAGCAGTGGAAGATGGCCCAGGTCCTTGGGCCCCTGCACCCACATGGGAAGACCTAGAGGGAGCTCTTGACTTCAGATCGGCGCAGCTCTGGCCATTGTGGCCAACTGGGGAGTGGGCCATCCGATGGAAGACCTCTCTCTCTGCCTCTCCTCTCTCTGTGTGGCTCTGACTTTCAAATGAATGGATAAATCTTCAAAAAAAATTATACCAAATGCCTGTCTGAGCAATGGAATCTAAGCAAGTTATCTGAGACTGTGCTTCAGAAACTAGGCAACCTATTTACCAAGAAATTATAACATACAGGCTCTTTAATATATAGATTCTAGAAAATAAGTTCAAATCTAAGACAGTAATAAAGACAAAGATCACCGTGATAATTACACAGGAGCAAGATTACACACTAGTCTTATAACAATTTATAGACAAAGCACAAAAGACAATGATAGATTTAGAATAGTGATTAATCTTAGAAATGCAAAAGAAAAACAACAGAAGATAAAAGTTGGGAAGGGCATGGGTTAGTATCTCCATATTAGAAAGTGAAGAGCTGCGGCCGGCACTGTGGCGCAGAGGGTTAATGCCCTGGCCTGAAGCGCTGGCATCCTATATGGGCACCGGTTCTGGTCCCCGCTGCTCCTCTTCCAATCCAGCTCTCTGCTATGGCCTTGGAAAGCAGTAGAAGATGGCTCAAGTCCTTGGGTCCCTGCACCTGCGTGGGAGACCCGGAAGAAGCTCCTGGCTCCTGGCTCTGGATCGGCGCAGCTCCAGCCGTTGCAGCCATCTGGTTAGTGAACCAGCAGATGGAAAAACTCTTTCTTTGTATCTACCTCTCTCTGTAACTCTGTCTTTCAAATAAATAAAATAAGTCTTAAAAAAAGAAAAAAGAAAAAAAAGAAAGTGAAGAGCAAAAAAACACTATCTTTGGCTAATGGGAAACTAAATAAACGTGTACTAAGTGCTTATCATTATTACTTAGAGATTATCCTTAAGTAATAACAGTGCTGTGTGCCAGGTACTTACTCACAATTGTTAGGGGTTATTCATTTAACTGTATAAAGCACTACAGAAAGAATCCTTTGAAAAGGTAAAAAAAAATTTAAACTACGGAGTAACCAACACAGGAACCAATAACAGTGATCTAATTATATTAAAGAGGAAGAAGAGAGATAACGGGTATAGTGAAAATTGGCTGATGCTTCAATATCAGAGTAGGAAGTCAAAGATAACATCTAAAACTGGCAAGTCAAGAAATAGGGGTAAAAGCATATTATTCAAAGATACAGATCATCCTCAAAAGAAATAAATGAAATGGTTTTTAAAAATTGTAAGTGGCTTCTTCCAAAAACTGACCTGGGACAGAGAAGAAATGAAACAAAGACTCCTGCTTTCAGCTAAAAAATTTCAATACTATTTCCATTTCAACAGTGTGTATGATTTACCTTGACCATTTCTCTTCAGTTTAATTTTTTTAAGAAAAAAGTAGTTAACTAATATGTCTTACTACCTCAGAAAGGTGATATTTTTTGCATTTTAATGGTTTCCGAAGAATGGTCTAATAATGCGAGATTAGTAAATCATCAAGTCCTAAATTTGTCATTTAATCCTGCATTTAAAAAATGAATATAGAAGCCAGCGCTGTGGCGCAGTGGGTTAAAACCCTGGCCTGAAGCACTGGTATCCCATTTGGGCACTGGTTTTATTCCCGGCTGCTCCTCTTCCAATCCAGCTCTCTGCTGTGGCCTGGGAAATCAGTAGAAGATGACCCAAGTCCTTGGGCCCCTGCACCCACGTGGGAGACCCAGAAGAATCTCTTGGCTCCTGGCTTCAGACCAGCGCAGCTCCGGCCGTTGTGGCCATCTGAGGAGTGAACGAGTAGATGGAAGACCTCTCTTTCTGTCTCTACCTCTCTCTGAAACTCTGTCTTTCAAATAAATCTTTTTAAAAAAAAAGAATATAAAATGATTCTATAAAATACTGAGGATGTAGTCCCTCCTGTCATGCAATAGTAACGTGGTCTATTGTCCAAAAAGCGCCCTCTTTCAAATCCATGTGCTTTGTTCCCCTTTTTTGAAGACACAGAGACTTTGACACCCTGTTTACCACAAGAACAGATTCATGAGAGAAAATTCCCAGTGAGATCACAGACACCACCCAGCCAAAGCTACTGTGAAGGGCAGATGCAGCCCACATAGATGCTGGAGATGGTGGCTAACCCAGGGGGACAGCATGCATACTATCCCCATGAGGTGACAGAACCACAGTCCCAGGTGCTCCAGCCAGCCCTGGGTGAAGCTTGCATAATGCTGGCCTGCACCATGTACTTAATTTTGAAAACACAGTCAATATCAAAAAGCAACATAATTTATATAAAAGTCAGACTTCACTCTCTCAATAAATCAGTAAAGGCAGGGTGTCCTCATTTGCTTTATCTAGCCTGCTTCCCTCATTTATGTTATCGATCTGTCCCACGTAGGCCATTTGCACGTCTCACCCTTGGTATTCAAGAGACAACAAACTGGCCTGCATTAACACATGGCATGAGTCTCTGAGGCAGGCAACTGGGAAGACCTCAGTGGCAATGGTCCCTAGCAGTAGTGGTTCCAGAGGGAGACAGCAACAGTGGGGACAGCACTTATCCCTACCTAAAAACTTTCTAAAAACAGTCAGGTATTTCAAAGCACTAGATTTTTTTTTTTTTTCAGAGAGTATACTGCACAAGAGCTGCCTATGGAGAAAATAAATACAAGAATTATCATGCAAGCCTAAAAATCAAGCATTTCTATGCATTTCTATTTCACTGCAACGTATTCCCTGCCAACTGCCTTACTTTTAATAAAACTAGCAGCAAAGGACAGATAAGAAAAGTGGTAACCGCTAGTGATCAATATCTTAGGAGATAACACCTAACAGTTCGACATAAAACCTAAAGCTTAAAGCCCAGTAATTAACATGGTAATCTATAATTTGAGTAAAATAGTCATAGTTTACTTACATTTTAATGTCTCTCCAGCATAAGGTATGTGCAGTTTAAACCGGTCACAGTTGGGACCAGGTGTCAATGATGTGCAGCTTTAAAAAAAGAAAGAAAAAAAGACTTTTTGAAAAAACAAACTTTTAAAGCCCTAATATAAAGTGATCTTTATGGATAAATGGTTAAAACATTGGCTTACAAAGCAAAATATAAGCCTTTAGTGCTTACAGACACCAGACAATAAGACTTAGCCTAAAACAATCATTCATTTATCTCACATTAAAGCTAAAATGCCTTTTTTTTTTAACTTTTATTTAATGAATATAAATTTCCAAAGTACGACTTATGGATTACAATGGCTTCCCCCCCATACCGTCCCTCCCACCCACAACCCTCCCCTTTCCCACTCCCTCTCCCCTTCCATTCACATCAAGATTCATTTTCGATTATCTTAATATACAGAAGATCAGCTTAGTATACATTAAGTAAGGATTTCAACAGTTTGCTCCCACACAGAAACATAAAGTGAAAAATAATAGATGATTTTTTTTAAATGATGATGAAATCAGATCAGACCTATTGTCATGTTTAATCCCAGTGAGAGTCAAGTTGGGAGTTGATAATTTCTTTTTTTTTTTTTTACAGAAGATCAGTTTAGTATACATTAAGTAAAGATTTCAACAGTTTGCACCCCCCATAGAAACACAAAGTGAAATATATTGTTTGAGTACTCGTTATAGCATTAAATCTCAATGCACAGCACTTTAAGGACAGAGATCCTACATGAGGAGTAAGTGCACAGTGACTCCTGTTGTTGACTTTACCAATTGACACTCCTGTCTATGGCATCAGTAATCTCCCTATGCTCCAGTCATGAGTTTTCAAGGCTATGGAAGCCCTCTGAGTTCTCCGATTCTTATCTTGTTTAGACAAGGTCATAGTCAAAGTGGAGGTTCTCTCCTCCCTTCAGAGAAAGGTACCTCCTTCTTTGAAGACCTGTTCTTTCCACTGGGATCTCACTCACAGAGATCTTTTGCCAGAGTGTCTTGGCTTTCCATGCCTGAAATACTCTCATGGGCTTTTCAGCCAGATCCGAATGCCTTTAGGGCTGATTCTGAGGCCAGAGTGCTATTTAGGACATCTGCCATTCTATGAGTCTGCTGAGTATCTCACTTCCCATGTTGGATCACTCTCCCCTTTATTTATTCTATCGGTTAGTGTTAGCAGGTACTAGACTTGTTTATGTGCTCCCTTTGACTCTTAGTCCTTTCATTATGATCAATTGTGAACTGAAATTGATCACTTGGACTAGTGAGATGGCATTGGTACATGCCACCTTGATGGGATTGAATTGGAATCCCCTGGTATGTTTCTAACTCTACCATTTGGGGCAAGTCAGCTTGAGCATGTCCCAAATTATACATCTCTTCCCTCTCTTATTCCCACTCTTATGTTTAACAGGGATCACATTTCAGTTAATTTTCAACACTTAAGAATAACTGTGTATTAATTACAGAATTAAACCAGTCATATTAAGTAGAACAGACAAAAAAACTACTAAGAGGGATAATGTATTAAGTTGTTCATTAACAGTCAGGGCTATGCTGATCAAGTCACCGTTTCCCATAGTGTCCATTTCATTTCAACAGGTTTCCATTTTGGTGTTCAGTCAGTTGTCACCGATCAGGGAGAACATATGGTATTTGTCCCTTTGGGACTGGCTTATTTCACTCAGCATGATGTGTTCCAGATTCCTCCATTTTGTTGCAAATGACTGGATTTCGTTGTTTCTTACTGCGGTATAGTATTCTAAAGTACATATCCCATAATTTCTTTATCCAGTCTACCGTTGATGGGCATTTAGGTTGGTTCCAGATCTTAGCTATTGTGAATTGAGCTGCAATAAACATTAGGCTGCAGACCGCTTTTTTGTTTGTGTGGCAGGCATTTGGGTGTGAATCAGTGGATGAGAACACATTCTTTCTCTCTCCCTCTCTGTCTCTCTGGGATAAATAAATGTTTAAAAAATTTTACATGTATTTTGACTTTTTTCATATTCTTTTAATTGACACATAAAAATTGCACATATTTATGGGGTACCATGTGATGTTTCAATGTTTCAATGTGCAGTGTTCCAGTCATGGAAAGCATATGAAGACTCTTCAAACAGGTGATGGGAAATATACACTATGAAAAAAGCTATGCATGAATTTTAAACATATTTTACACCATATATAACTTGCCATTTAATTTCATTTTTCCACAAACATTTTGAAGTACCCCAATTATCTATCTCCTCAAATATTTAACATTTCTTTATGGTGAAACATTCAAAACCCTGTATTCCAGCTATTTGGAAATATGTATTTTTCAACTGTGTATTACAATTATCCAGTCAGCCTACCATGCAACAGAACACCAGAACTTATTTCTCCTATTTATTAACCCTACCTGTAGGGTTAGTAGTAGCTGTGGACGAGTCTTTCCCTGTCCTGTCCCTCCTGCCTACTCTCCCCAGCCTTTGGTTACTACTATTCTACTTTCAACTTCTTTAAGTGTACCTCAACTTTGAAAACCAGGTATATTGGCCAGTGCCATGGCTCAATAGGCTAATCCTCCGCCTGCGGCGCCAGCACACCAGGTTCTAGTCCTGGTTGGGGTGCCGGATTCTGTCCCGGTTGCCCTTCTTCCAGGCCAGCTCTCTGCTGTGGCCCGGGAGTGCAGTGGAGGATGGCCCAAGTACTCGAGCCCTGCACCCCATGGGAGACCAGGAGAAGCACCTGGCTCCTGGCTTTGGATCAGCGTGGTGCACCGGCCGCGGCAGCCATTGGGGGATGAACCAACGGAAGGAAGACCTTTTTCTCTCTCTCTCTCACTGTCCACTCTGCCTGTCAAAAAAAAAAAAAAAAAAAAGAAAGAAAGAAAAAGAAAAAGAAAACCAGGTATATCATCCGAAAGAGGCCTCTAGTATTTAATGCCAAGAATTGTAAAAGAAGAGTAATTTCACGGCCATATTTTAAGCATAGATTTTCTTTCACTGTTAGTACAAAAAAGAGCCCACTTTTGGCCTTTTTCTGGTACCAGATGGTTTTCTCTCTTTCCACAAAGGTACGGTGCTTCCTCTAGACTTGGCAACCTGTAACTTTCAGCGGCAGGAGAGCACATGCACTGTGCTCAATCCCAGATAAGATGCAAATTTAAAAGGAGGAGAAGAGTTAGTCACCAGGTCTCAACATCCACTACTTCACAAAGTATACAATGTTATACAATGTTCCTTACTTTTTTGTAAGAAGAGTTATTTATTTGAAAGGCAAAGTTACAGAGAGGCAGAGAGAGAGAAAGAGAGGTCTTCCATCTGCTGGTTCACTCCCTAAATAGCCACAACAGCCAGAGCTGTGCCAATCCAAAGTCAGGAGCCAGGAGCTTCTTCCAGTCTTTCACACAGGTAAAGGGTCCCAAGGACCTGGGCCATATTCTACTGTTTTCCCAGGCCATAAAAGAGAGCTGGACCAGAAGCAGAGCAGCCAGGACTCAAACCAGCACTCATATGGGATGCCGGCACTGCAGGCCGTGGCTTTACCTGCTACACCACAGTGCCGGCCCCTGTTCTTTACTTTTTACACATATTTACAATATATTTTAAGAACTCAGTAATTAGAACTTCAACTGAGTAACAGCAGTATTGGCCTTAGAAGTTAATAAATGCTAATATGAAGTCAACTGAGGAAGTTCCATGTTTTATAGTTTTTTTAAATGAGGTTTGTAATATATAAAGTACAGCCAGGAAGCCGTTTTCTTTCATAATTCCAAAACTGCTCTGAAGCAATTCTGCAGAACCACCTGCCAAAGTAGTTTGGTGGATGGAAGCGTAGCTGCAATAAATGCACAACTTCCCAGATGGCCAAGAAGGGCAAGAATCATTTGAAGGGCAGGAATCATTTGGAAATAAATTCGAGAAATGCTGGCTTAAAATACACTAGCTCAGACTTCACATTAGATTGACTATTACTTTTTCCCAAAACTATGCTAACATGACAGAAAAAAAAATCAAGCAGAAACTTTAACTCAGATATATTTAGCATAAATCACTAGATGGTTATTTCTCTTTATCTTCAGAGGCCAATAAAGACACTAGTTTATAAGCTAAAAAACAAACTTGTGCTACCAACTGAATAGTAAACTTTTTTACTTTTCCTAAATTTTAAGAATACATTCTCCTTTTCCTTTCAACATAAAAAACTTCTGGGGGTATATTTTATAAAAGATATTTAAATATGGCCCATATACAGGTAGAATATCTCTTATTTGAAATGCCAGGACCAGAAGAATTTCAGATTTTGGAACACTAACATATACATAAAATATCCTGGGATGGAGCCCATCTAAACACAAAATTAATTTATGTTTCAGAGCCTGAAGATAATTATATATAATGTTTTAGTAGTAGTAATAAAAGTCAATTAAAATACCTTTGTAATTTTGTGCATTTTGACTGTGTGAGGTGGGTGTGGAATTTTTGACCTGTGGCATAATGTCAACACTCAAAAAGTTTCATATTTTGGAGAATTTCAGATTTTGGATTTTCAATTTAGGGATATTCACGCAGAGTAGTTATATGAAAAGACTGATGGAAAATACAGGAATGATAGCATGATAACATATAAAGTAGAATCCAGTGACAGTAATGACCCTATACTCAACAATAAGGATATTCAAATTGTGATGCCTTAAAATGATGAGAAACACCATTCACTCAAGGTCTGTTTTGAGTTTAAAAACTGAAGTTAGCAGCAGTACAGGAAATCCTCAGGATTTAATCTGATTCTAGTTTGTTTGAATAACTCCCTCCTTCTTCAATGTGGAAAGGTTACATTCACCATTGATCATACTTTGTGTTATGTACCTTATACTTTCACCAGGTCTGGGAAAATGTTTTTGCATACCTTCCTCTCCTATCACATCAATGGCCAATTCTAGAACCTCAAAGATGTTAAAAGTACACTTCTCCATCTGAGTGACTGAGTACTGTAATTTTTTTTAATTTAAATAAGATTTATTGAGTACTATTCAAGGTGATAGGTGGTCAAAACAGACAAGA